AAGCATCCTTCATTAATTTTTTTACGATTATTAGTAAATCTTGAAGTATTGCTTAACTTTGTCACCAATGCAATTCAGTTAGGTAATTATAATTTTAAATAGATTCGCTTCTGAATATACTATGCACATCCTGCTTCTTCGTAAATACCTAGTGTTGGTGATATTTCCTAAAATAAATGAAACACAGAGTATAGAATAAAAACAGAAATAAATAAAATTATCATTTAGTTATTTATTATCAGCAGTCAGAATTATATAATTTCTATAGTCAATTAAAAAAAAAAAAAAAACGAAAACATTTACTGGTAATACTGTCATGGGAATGCCTAAGCCGTCCCTGTAGAGCGCGATCTTCAGCTCGACTCACGGTCAAAACACCACTGACGTATAGAGACAAACGCTCCGCTTCGCGAATCTACCAAAAAAGCAATATGTGTCCGTTGAGTCATAAAGATGGAATTGTCAGAAGACGTTGTTGTCTGACGAATTATGGAAGTTACTGGCACACAAGTTCCGATTCTGGTCTTTTTCTTGATGAAACTGGAATTTCTTTAGCAGTCGTGACCAACCCCTGTTCGATCAGAATACCTCGTCCAACCTCTTCATCGTGGTTCCAAGATTCCATCATTACAGGTGTTCTTTCTTCAATAGTTTCTTGAAACCGTGCTACTATAACGGTTTCACTTCTGCCAAGTACCACCGTATCCTCCTGTATAGCAACTGGCACGGTACTGTCCCCATGTGGATGTAGGAATACCTCTTCGGCACCAACTTTGATCACTGTCCTTAAAGGCGTAACTGGAAACCATGTAAGTTCATTACATCCATTCCAAGAATAACATCTTCTTCGATATCAGCGACAATAACCAGTATGAGTGAACTTTTCTGTACCAATTCCCAACTGAACCTGGATTGTTGGCACTGTCATTTGTGGCAGTTCGTAGTCGCAATCTTACGGTTATTTATGGTTGTTGGTCGTATAATGATCCTAGTTGCTCCAGTATCCATCAATAGTGTATACTTTTTAGACATTTTTAGAACGGTTTCAGGTCAAAGCTGCCCTCTCTAGGCAGACCCGCTCTAGTTTACCTGCAGCGTGTTGTCTTCATTTGTTGAGACCCTATGGCGTTTCCATGAACTGCGTACATGTCCCAGTTTACCGCAATTCTAACACCGGATGGTCTTTGTCTTTATCTTTTTGTCAGTAAGGCTCTTCATCATATTTACCAGTTGGTCGAGTTTACCTTCCTCTTCTTCTTTATTTATAGTTCCATTTCTAACACCAATGTGAGGTTATTTAATTTATTTATAGGTTATTTATTTAAAACACACTATTTACAATTTATATATGACGTACTAATTAATTGATATAGTACTTACTCACAATTCTAATTTATTTATTACAATTTATCTTTTCAGTCCAATACTTTATTCTAAACTATTCGTCAGTCGACTAAATGAGTCTGATATGTAATGGACCACCTCCGATGTCGTCTGGAAGCTATTTTTAGTTTTTCAAATTGTTTGCATTAAATTATAAAGTAACTTTAAAAACATTGTTACATGCAAAAATAATTTGAATAAATATTTTTATTGACATTCTATATGTGTATTGTCATTTTTAACTGTTTACTTACTACAAACATTTTAAATAATATACCTACAGTAGTCAAATATATTATACATCTTTTAAATATATAAAAATTATTAAAATAATAAGAGTAGACTATTTCTAATAACCATGATGATTCTTACAACAATATCGAAACGTTCACAGTTGAAAAAAGGTTGATTCTATAGTACTGCTTCATTATTTTTTTAATTTTGACTATTATTTTCTTCGCGGGGCTCCCACAAAGGCTTTGTGAAGCCCCGGGGCTCCGCGGAGCAAACTTTGAGAAACACTGATGTAATTCTTAATGATTAATTGCCCAATAAGCAGTAAATCAAATATTGAATTGAATATTTTTGATTTAAAAAAAATCCTCTGATTCATAAAATAAAAATCATAAAATGTCGACAAATTTTAATTCAATGTTATTTCCCATTTATTAACATAAATAAAATATATATACAAATTAATGTTTACATCACACTTGTTATGTATTTATCCTGTTTAATTTTAATATACTCGTATCTTGATATTGACCTTGTCAAACAGTAAACATCGCCTTTTCGGTTGTCAACCTCTAAATTAATTATATGCCATATGTAATTTTTCAACAAATTATGTAAAAATGAATATCTATATTGAAAATAACAATCAATTTATAATGATTTTCCCAACGTACTTTTACTATAGTCTAGAGAGAAAAAAGGAGTGCAGGCAGAACATTGCACAGGTTCATAAGAGCCAGACATTTTATTTATACCTCATCCTTCAATGCTTATTTGTAGTTAAAATGAAAATTTTAATACATCTGATAAAAGTTTTCTCTTAGATTTAATTAGGTTTTAATAGTTCAGAACAATATGTCAAATATGACTTCATGGTGAGTATTATCTTGATGAAATTCATTCTTACACCTCTTCTTTTTAGAATATTCTAGGTTTGTATCTCCTGAACGGCATTTGTATGTCTAAGATTGTCAACCATAATTTTTTATTAATTACATATAAGTGTAACCTATGTCCCTATTTCTTTCCTTGATTCACTTTTCTAATATGCTTTTATAATACTTTGAACACTGCATTGAAAACTGGTAGGTAGTAATTAGGAAATTGCAAAGTTTTTTTGTTTTTTCTTTTTTTTTTTTTTTTTTTAAAAATTTTACATTGATGAAGGCGACCATTTCATATAGAGAACAATATAACAGCCAAATTTCTTCAAAATTTCTTTCGAGTTCGAGGTTCTGATACCGAATAGAACGAACATCCCAAATGGTAGCCAACAGGAACAAACTTGACTGAGGAAAGTATTTTTAAAATATTTTATACTTATTCTCCCTATACAGGGTGTTATTGAAATACACGTACATATTAAAATGGGGAATAGTATGTAATGACCAAAAACGATTGGCACCAATTTTAACTTCAAATTCTAAAATTTAAATATTGGGGAAGAGTCCCCTTTTCCGACCTACTAGTTTCCATATTTAAAGAAGTAAAATAAATCGAAATTGAACTTACCCATAGAAATTGCACTGTTGCCGTAGCAAAACCAATTAATTCAAAATAAAGTTTATTACAGTAATTGTTCAAAATGCCGTCCATTATTATTTACACACACTTGCAATCGTCTTTCCAAAGAACTTTGAACATTAGAAATTAGTCTTGGATTTTGTCGTAGTTCCTCGGCTACCGCATTAACTTTATTGGTTAATTGTTCAACACTATTAATAGGTTCATTATAAACCAGTTGTTTCATGTGACCCCACAAAAAGAAATCGCATGGATTTAAGTCCGGAGATCTCGGAGGCCACTTAGTAGGTCCATTTCTGCCTATCCACTTTTGAGGAAATCTAATGTTCAAAAACTGCCGTACGTTTAAATCAAAGTGAGGAGAAGCGCCATCTAGTAGGTACCCCATCCGTTGCCTTAATTGTAACGGTATCTCTTCTAGGAGTACTGGCAAAATATCTTCTAAAAAGTGGAGATATCCTGGCCCATTTAATCTGTTCGGGAGAACATAAGGCCCGATTAAATACTGATCTATTATGCCAGCCCAAACATTTATTGAAAATTTTCTTTGATGCCCAGTTTCCCTAATGGCGTGAGGATTTTCATCACTCCAAATATACGTATTGTGCATATTGAACACGCCATCACGAGTGAATGAAGCCTCGTCAGTATACAATAATATTTTTAGAAAATCAGGAATATCAACACATTTTTGAATCATCCATTCACAAAACTCCACTCTCTTTTCTTCATCACCTGGATATAAGGCCTGGACTTTTTGGATGTGATAAGGATGTAAACCTTGTTCTTTAAGTGTCCGCCACACAACAAATGAGGACACTCCAATTTCAAGACCTAGTCTTCTACAACTTAATTGAGGCCGGTTTTCAACAGCTTCCAATATTTCTTCTTCGGCCGCCAATGTTCTTTGTGTTCTTGTTCTCCCTCGATCTGCATTGACACTCTCAAATTTTCCATGGTCTCTTAGATGCTGAACAGTTGAAATAAACGTACGACAGTCCGGAATTCTCCGATTTGGAAACCGTTCGCGATACCGGATTTGTGCTTGCCGAGAATTTTCTCCAGCTGCCCCATAAACCAGCACTATATCCATTAGTTCAATATTCGTAAATAGTGGCATCGTAAAAAAATATTTAAAAGTAATCGTAACAACACTTTTTACCAACTTGGAAATGACGCGCTCGTGTTAGCCAGATTCGTAAATCAACTAAAATTTTAATAATCTATAGTTTCAAAAATGTATAGTTTAAAAACAATCATTTATCAAATATTCTAGTTTTTTGATAACGAGGGTAGTAAAAACCAGTCTTCGGAAATAGAAATTAATTCGAAAATCTTGGCAACATGGTTATTTCTTACAAGACTAGTTTTCTTATCATCTGACAAAAACTTGCATATTAATTACTGTTGATGTTTAAAATAGGTAAATAAACCTAATTTATATAGGTCATCCTCAACATATCAGTGAAGTACGTTTGTTTTAGAATTAATTTTCAAAAATTAATAACTCCCTTAATAAGGGGTATTTTTAAAAAATAATATTTGTCTACATTCAGTGGGGATCTGCGCAATACCCAGTTTTAATATGTACGTGTATTTCAATAACACCCTGTAAATGTTTTCTTTCAAAATATTTTAATGTTAAAATAAGGAAGTAGATAATTATTAAAAAATTATATTAACATTTCGACCTTTACTTATACATTTAAGTCTCCAAATGACGCATTTTAATAAACAAATAAATAACTCTTTTAATGTAAAATCAAGACGTCCATCAAGTGCCAAAGTACCACACTTGACCATCAACGACGGCACGAAAACAACACACGATAGTGATAGTGGTCAAAAGTCAGTGGAAGATCGGATCGAAAATGGGAGGGGGCTCTTCCCCCTGGGGCGCAAACGTTTCCTATGTAGGTTAGCAAGCCGTGGGGATGTAGGCCGGCTATATACACCGCTTCCAAGTCCATCTGACAGTTCATTTAAAAGTGTTTCTTCGCCGTCTGTTGTGGAAATATCATTAGGTAAGTTTTTGTGCACGCTCAACATAGAGTGTTTTGGAATTTAACAGTGCCTGGCCTGATATGATGTAACGGGTTACTTGTCTGCGCGAGCGTTGAAGTCTATTTTTTTACGGAAAGGGTGGTTAAAAGGTATTGCCGTCAAGTGAAGTGATTTTTTTGGGTGTTTTTGGAACTAATTGAAGTGCCTTAGTGGATTTGAGAGGGATTGCTCTAACGTACGGCAAAAAAGTGGTAAAAAATTGTAATTATCATTTGTTTTATCTAGAATTCGTTATTTTTTAATTTCGTGTCATTTTAAAGACATTAAATTAAAAAAAATATACTTTTTATAATGTTTGAGAAATAAAATGGTATATCTAAGAACGCTATTTCAGATTATCAAGCTTTTTAAATAAATTTGTGTCTATTTAAATAATAAATAATTATTTTTAAGAGAACTTTTAAATAATTACGAATTCCAGATTAAAATATAAGATAATCGCAATTTCTGTTTGAATTGCCTTATGTGGGGCAATCTCCTTTACTAGGGCAAATGTTATATAAACCGATATCCGTAATACAGGGTGTTGAAGTTTTTAAAGTTAATCAATATTATGCATTTTAGAAAAAAATGTATTGGAACTTTATTGTTGTTGTTAAAGAACGTTTTGGTAAATTTTTGAAACTTTTGTAACATTCTAGTTTTTGTCTCAAGAATGAGTTCAAGGACGAATGTTTTTAATTTTTTTTCCTTGAAAATGAAGCGAGATACGGTAAAAACTCAACAGAAAAAAAGTTGTGTACATAAAAATCTATTGGGTGTTAGTTTTTTGGGTAAAATAATTTTTAATGACTTTCCCCTTGGACACACCCTTTAGAATTACTGGATAAACTGTATTAGTTCCAAGAGATACATAATTAAAATATCAGCAAATTGTGAAAATTTTAACACTCTGTACCTATATATATATATATAACATACTTTTTTTTACTTTGACCTAAAGGGACCTGATCCTCAATTTTCCTGCAATATTAATGAATCACCTTGTACCGGATATATATAAGAATACCATGATCTTTTCTTATCATTTTTTCCTACGCCTCACAGAGTTGTAGGCCTATAACTGGAAATCATTTTTAATTTACTTGAGGTAATTTAATAACTTTTTAATATAATGAATACTTAATAAAAATCTTCTCAAAATCCTTTTAAAAATATTTGGCTTATATAACAGACTAGCTTTAACAAAATAATGCATAAGAGCATAGGCGTATGGCCCCCCGAGACTAAAATTTGTATAATCCACGACCCTTTTATTAAAAAAAATATTCTGAAAAAGGGAATTGTTATTGACAATGCCCCTCCTCCCCCCCAACAAAAATTCGTCCTGGAGCCGCCCTTGTCCTTTACTATAAAGATAAAACAATTATATTTTTGACAGCTCTATTTTCGAAATAAAAATATTTTCGTTTATTATGTTTTTTTTTTTATAAACGTTGGTGTTTATGTTGATAAAATTCCTTTTTTGTTGTTACGTTTTTTTTAACATGTACCGTTTATTAAATAACATGAAGCACTTAAAAAGTATAAAAAAAATCCATGGGCGTACGTAATCGGTTTGTATCTGCGTAGGGAGAATAGGCATAAGAATTTTCTTTTAGGAACATGTTATTTTTTGGTGTTCTCTCTAGCATAGATATTCTGGTATATGTCGGTATAACTTTAAAGAAAATATTATGCCAAATGTATGTAGTAGTATAGGAATCAATGTGATATTTTTCGTTTGTATGTAGAGCAACATTTAATGATTAAAATGCATTCATTAATATGAAATTAGTCGTGTTTTTCTTGGATTGGGATAAGTATTTCAAAATTGCCTGCGCTTTCACTAAAATGATGATCTATTCGAAAGAAAATTACATTTCTTTAAATATAATTTAGATATATGAGGCAACTAAACAATTTGTTTCGAATAAAAAAAAAAGTTTTAACATTATTTGTTATATTACAAATATTAATTTTTACATATGCTGTCGAAGGTTTTTTATTACCACCGCAAAAGTGGCTGATGGAATATTTGGAAAAAGTACAATAAATCTAAATGAGATTACTTAAGTATACCTCAAACTAATTACTAGATCGTTTGGTGGTTTTAGAGAAACTACAAGTTACTAATAAAATTACCTTCCGGATGAAGTGTCACATTTTTTTTATCCAGAAAAAATCACTAAAATCAAAATAAACTATTCTCGCGGACACCCGGTATACTATTTAAATTTAATCATTATATTAGTCTATGTATAGTCTGCGGTTGTTTATGTGCATTTATAAAGAAATATACATTGTATTGGTATATAAACGTACCTAGAACATATAATTATTTAGCAAAAAATTGAGAGGTATTACAAATTTATTTTCACGTAGAATTAAGCAATTTAATGTAAATGTCAAACGTCGAAAATCCACGGCCGAGTACAATTTGTACTTTCGAGTTCAATTCAAACACTTAACAGATGCTAATAATGTGAAAAAAGCTTTTGAAACGCATGAGAAAAAATTTTGAATACAAAAGAAAGAATCAAAATCGTTTACTTTACAATTTAACGATATTCATCACTATTTCACTATAATTCAGTGTGAGATAATGAAGACTATAATCATTTATTATTGTATTGCCACACGATAATTTTTCTAATTTCGCAACCACCTGTGTTGTTAGTGACTACTTTAACTTCTCCTTTTGTTCACATTAGGTACTTAATTCGAATAAAATTGTGCAATATTTAAATGGCGTCAGATGTTGTACTAAATGATAATGGTCATTGTTGAAATATTTTATTATGTGAATATTTAAATGTTTACACTATTAGCTATTGGATATCTTAATGTTTGTTAATACGAAACGATTAGATCTGTCTAAAAATGAAGAAATATAAATAAGATGAATATAAGAAAAGGTGATCTAGAGTAAGAAAATTGTTTTTTCACCAACATTGTAACAAGTAGCTTCCTGCTATGCAAGCTGTCACAATGTAACATAACTTGTATAGGAACCACCTGTGTTACCAAATGTAATAACTGGCGATACTTTAAAAAACACTTCGCGACCCTCTTGGGGTCGTGACCCACAAGTTGGAAACGACTGCTGTATATATTATAAATACATAAGAATATTAATTTATGATTACTGAACAAAAACGCAGCAATATGCAAAATAAGAGTGTCAATAAATAATAAAAGAACCGCTTTTTCAACGTTTAACATAATATTTTAACTGTAAAAAGTCATTATCCGGTAATAAAATTTAAAATAAATACGTTTTCTAAAAATAGATGTGATTTAGTAAAAGAAACACTATTTAAAAATCATATAGGTAAGACAAAGTTGTTACGTTTGATAGATTTGTACAATATTGTAAAATTTAAGAAAATGCTTTCGCGATAGTGTTTAATTTTATATAAGTGTAGATTAATAGTAATCCGATGTTATTTGATTACTGCTCAAAGGAAGTAGAGCAGAAAGGAGGGAAGAACGAAGATAAATAAATTTAAACTTGTTCACATGATAATTAAAATTTTTAGGAAATCTACCAACCTTATATTTAGATATAGTTTTGATTGAAAATTATAGAAATTCAAAAATGTTTTCACATCACTACACTCCGGAGATCTAAGAGCAATCAAAGCAGTGAACCAAACATGGAGAGCTAACTCCAAAGAAAGCCAAGACGATTGTGATGGCTGTCGTCCTTTGGGAATATTATGCCTCGTTTGTAGACTGATAGAACAAAGAAATTAAAGCTTAAAAGTCTTATTTGGTCTTAAGCTATAGTCTATTTTTATGTATGAGAGAGTAATAAAACAGCATTTCTAATGCAAAACTTAGTACGGTTATTTTAAATATTTTTACAGAATAATCTAAATATTTCCTAAAATTGTAATAAATGTACCTGAGCTATTACAAGTTTTGGGTCTTTTATTGGTCCTTTATAAACATAAGCTGTACAGAACAATAGAAAAAGGTTTGGACAGGCCAAAAGCCCTGTGTATTAAAGATTACATAGCCGTATCTTAAGATTATTTTCAATAAGTACCTATTTGCCAATTTTGTTTTATTTTAATTCCAAGAAAATCTTACAGTAATCGAATTATAAGTAGATAAATACCTTCCCAACAAACTTCACCGAAAATGCGATTATAGGTTTTCCATTTAGTAAGGAGGTTCAAGTTGTGTATTCTTGACAGTTTAGTAAATGTCGTTTAGTTGCAACTTGCAAGGTGCAGTGTAAATTCTAGTGTGATCATGGAAAATTTGAAAGGGCCGCGTAAACGACAAAAAATAGGTCCTTTAACAGTTAATGAAAAAACATTAATATTTAATTGTTTTAAATCATTTACAGACAAACATTTATGTAAAAGTGTTGATGACACAGTGGAATTAGTTAGTAGTACGCTTGGTGTTGGGAAATCTACGATTTACAGAGTTGTTAAAGAAGAGAAATGTGGCGAGTTTTAAACAGCACGTAAAGCTCCAGGAAAACCAAAATTTCAATTAGAAAATCTTTTGAAAGAAAGACTTCGAAGGAAAGTGCATGCGTTCTTCTTTAGAAAAGAATTTCCGACAGTAGACAAAGTTCTTGCCACGGTTCGAGATGATAAGGATTACCCTGAAATGAGTCGAAGCACACTATGAAAACTTTTAAAAGAAATAGGTTTTCTATGAAAAAAGCATTCCAGAAAGTCTATTTTAATAGAAAGAAGAGATATTGTAGTATGGAGAAGAAATTACCTAAGGACTATAAAAAAAATGAGAAACCAAAGAAGAAATATATTTTATTTAGATGAAACATGGATCAACGAGGGACATAAACCAAATAAATTTTGGCAAAATGAAACTGTTACAAGTCGACGACAGGCTTTTTTAAATAATTTATCTACTGGTTTAAATCCACCATCAGGAAAGGGGCGCAGACTAATAATAGTACACATCGGTAGTTCAAACGGTTTTGTTAAAGGTGGTT